GATTTCTCGGGGTTTGCGAGCGCAGGGACGTGGGTAGTTCTCTAAAGTAGGGTCCCTTTTCGGGTCCTGTTTATAAGGGTGCCGTATTATTTTGGGGCTACGAAACGGGCCCCAGTTTGGAGAACTACCCACATGAAGGTCTTTCAAAGGCAGGATGAGCTCTGTTAGGTGGCCTGTCTAGTCATGTATTCATCAGTCTAGGACATTTTGAGGTGGGCAGTTACCCTTCTAGGAGCTTTATAGAAGGTCGATATACCTCATAGACGCCTTATAGAAGCCCTATATACCCTAAACTCCCCATCTGTTCCTTTAAATCAGGCAGCGGGTCCTGCTTCTCCACACCCAGCAGGCAGGATTGAGAGAGTTCAAGTCTGATGTCGGCTGGGGCGAAGCAAGGTGGGTAGTTCTCTAAATTGGGGTTCCGTTTAGGGTCCTTTTAATAAGGGTGCCGTACTATTTTGGGGGCTGAAAAGGGGCTCTGATTTAGAGAACTACCTAGGTGGTTGTGAGCCTCAGGGTTTGCCCTAAACCCTAAACCCTAAAGCCCTAAACACCCTAAGGGCATATGGGTGGAGGTTGAGGAGCCAGTTCTGGCTCTTATTCTTCTTCTGTCCGTCTAGTTTAGGGTTTAGGGTTGCCGGGTTTAGGGTTTTAGACTGCAGGTAGATTGCCACTTCTTGCAAACCTGCCCCCGAACGCTCCGGTCATGGAGGGGCAGTTGCACTCTGCCACGTGGATTTACCTGAATTGTCCCGACGACACGCAGGAGCGTGAGACACTCCAAGGCATGCCAAAAACCTGAGTCCAACTTTGCTATGAAACTCTGGGATAGGTACCAGGACCGGCCTTGTTCGCTCAAACAGGGGTATATGGTCCCAAACAAAGTGGTCGGGTAGATGGAGACATGCCGGCGAAACCCAGAAGAACTCTAGGACTGGACTGCAAGGCCAACATCCCGCCAAATCCCAAGCCTCCTGAGGAACCCAAACCCTACAATCCTAAGCCCTGAATGCCAAAATACCTCAAGCCCTTAGACCCAACTGGACATCGGATTCGTCTTCCAGCAGCCGCGAGCTCGCACTGCGCGAGGTGCAAGCAGCCGGCGACACCGCCGAGCACACCCGGACCGAAGGCATCTGCAATATAGGCTTATAGGGGCCTTGTAAGAATGAACAAGCAGCAAGACTTCTCCCTTGTAGTCCTTTCCTGCATGGAGTTATAGTATAAATTACAGTATATTGCGCCCTGCATTAAAGATACCCCGCCCCTCAAGGATGTGCCGCGGGTGGGGGTGTCTAATATGCCACCGCCATTAGGGATTAGGAGTTCAGGTTTAGGGTTTATAGTTCCGATTCGGGTTGAGGGGTCGGGGTTTAGAATTCAGGGGTTCGGGTTCCTATTAGGGTTTAGGGTTGAGGGGGTAGCGTTTAGGGTTTAGGTATCCGTTCCCCAGTGTCTTGCATGGCTTCCCAAGTGAGAGCAGCATCCTGGGCTTCGGAAAGGATCCATCCGAATGGGTTCACGAAGTATATAGATAGCATAGATGCTAGATCTGGACATGGACCCTAAACCCTAAACCCCACAAACCCTAAAATATCTACACGAAAGTTTCCTCCTCTTGGACTCTGGGGCCTTCAGAGAACTCCACGGACTCAGACCTACACGAAAATTTCCTTGTCTGGGATTCTGGGGCTTTAAGGACTCCACTGGTTTCTTTCACACAACGTAGGGGCCTAAATAATCAGAACAGGGGTTTTGGGGGCTCCTTGATTAGACTTGTTTATGGTATATTATAACACCCCCCCCCCTCCCAAAAAAAAAAACTGTTCGAATTATTAAGGCCCCTAATATAGGGCCCTATTATCGATCCCTTATAGAACCCTTTAAGGAGATCCCTATTATTTAAGGCCCCTACATTAACCTCAAGAGCTCCATGGGCAGGCAGGCTGCCAAAGCCCAGGCCGGATCCGTCCCTGTTTTGAGTTAGGGGTTCATAGGGTTTAGGGTTTAGGGTTTATAGAGTTTAGGGTTTAGGGTTTAGGGGGTAATCTTCGAAGGCACTAAACCTGTGGGTAGTTCTCTAAATTAGGGTCCCTTTTCTAAGGGTGCCCTACTACCCTAAACCCAGGGCTCCCAAGGTATGCGGCTTGATGTACAGTCGTATAGTTCCCTCCCTGATCTATGTGCAAGGAATGAAGCATGCTGAGAGTCATCACGTCGTGCCCTATATTGGGGACCCAAAGCGGGACCCTAATTTGGAGAACTACCCATATTGGGGAGAAAGTATGTTTCCCCAATATGTTTAGTATTTTGCCCAATATGTTTTGCTGTCTAGAGGGCTTTGGGGTACAGGTTTGATTGAAGCTAGGTGTAGGCTCAGGGTTACAGTTGTCCAACTAGAGTTAGTTCGGATGCGGCGGTTGTGTTGTTAGGTTGTTGCACCCTTTCGGCACGTTTGGGATCTATCGTCCAGGCGTCAGGCATGTCTGCGAAAGATTCTGCTTCAGCAGTGGGGACGGACCTGCGGATGCAGAATAGACGGCTGTCGCCTTGTTCAATGTCTCCACTGCACATAAAACAACTGCCCAGAGAACCCAATACCCCTTAATTAAGGAATATGCCTTAAATCATAATAACAGTAATAATAATAAGGCCCCTATAATTTAAGGTAGATTCCTTAGTTAAGGTGTAGCTTGGGTTCTTTGGGTGTGCAGTCCTTTGAAGCCCAAGACAGGTGGGGCTGGCCAGGATTCCGGTGGCACAGCAAGGTAGGAAGATTGACGACCCTGGATCTGGGATTCTCATGCCAGAGGGGGGTTTTGGGGTTTAGCATTTATATAGCGATTATATAATTAGGCTTAAAAGGTTAAAGGTTAGGATTTATATAGGGATTATATAGTTAGGCTTTAAAGGTTAGGATTAGAGGTTTAGGAGCTGTCAGCTGCACTTTCGAGTGTCATCCGTTTAGCGTTATACCCCGCCGTAAATTGGAGGTACTTCGCTGGGATGGATGGCGCTGACCTCAGAGCGAGCGGCCTTCGCATCCGCATGAATGTTTCGATTCCGCGATCTTGGAGTCCACCAAATTGAAATAGCTTTGCTTTGTCATTTTGTCAGGTTGTAGTTCCACCAGCAAGGCTTTGGTTCAAAGTAAGGTGCGATCAAGTCACGAGTTAAGATCTGGGAATGGCAGCAAGCGGATCCTTGCATCTTCCCTGCGTTGCTCGAACCCGGTGAGGGCCACTGTATCGTGCCAACATTATTTGGCACAAAAACTCGCAAAGCTAGTCAAGGTAGTATCACCCCAGACTGCAATTTGACCCTACTGTTCGTCGCCTTCGCATTGCCAAATGAAGTACCGTGTTCTGTAAGCTTAAGGCGTGAGCCTTCAGCCATACAGTCTTGCATCCCGTCCCGCTTGTATTGTAAGTAACATTGTACTGCCGTGATGGTCCCTGGTCAAACAAAGCACCGAGAGACCTCAGCTACTTAGTATTCGGATGATCAATCGCAGGTATTGTCGTTTGTGTGTATATATATATATAGATAGACAGACATAAAAAATAAATACATAGATTATATACATATATATATATTATAATATATATATATATATATATATCGACTTCCAAACGCCACCAGCGGCTCAAGGTTTTAAGACAGGGGCCGAGGTCCCGGCCTGATGGTCAGTCGGGAAGTTCCTGACTTTGCAGAGGCCTTGGTCTTGGGTGTGTCTTCTTTCCGAGGCCCGGGCTGGAGACCCCTCAAAAATGCAAGCGGGGAAGCCGATCGCTTGGCACAGCGGTTTCAGCACTTGGGCTGTAGGAACGTGCTGAGGCCCCCAGACGCGGAATTGACGGGAAGTGGCATTCGCGAGCATCTGAGGGCCTTCCTACACCGAGTTACCGGGGCAGTAGAATCCTCCCCGGAAGAGCAGCAGATTCTGGTCACGTGCGCCATACTTTCGCATGGCCTTGGTCGAGACGGCCTCACCCTTCCGGAAATTGCCGGCTCCGATTCGGCAGGGCCGGAAGATCACGAGTCGCACGCAGTTCTTGACGAAGTTCCTAGGGAGCATTTTGGAAAGCTTTAAAGCTTCCCTTACTATGGCTCAGTAGAGGTATCACTACTTCTGGGGGCTCCAAAACTAGAGCCCAGGTTCTCTTAAAGGAGCTGAACCGAGTGGATCTGCGCCGTGGGAGGTGTACGCGCCTGAAGGTCTGGTTGATTTTGGACTGCTGCCGCGAGGATGCCGGCAATGATCTTTGGCATCAGGAGACGTGGGCTTTCCTTGTTGAGTGCACCATAGCAGTCCGAATGTCTCCTTGCTGCTAGTGCCCAGAATATAGACATTGCCTTGCACTCTGGCCCAAGAGGGGAGCTTGGACGTTCTGCAGGTCATGATATAAGAAGCTACAAGTAGTTAGGTTCCCCAGCGCAACTCCGTCATCGCTCTGGTTGCTTTCTATAGGGCTATAGGGCTTTGAACTTGCAGCCTAAACCCTAAAAGCCCTAAAAGCCCTGAAACCCTAAACCCTAAAAGCCCTGAAACCCAGAAGCTGTGCCAGTGCCATCTGTCCCTTCAGGAGCATTTTCGTCTGCTGAATCCCCGTGGGTGCTCCGACGGCGGCTCCAGATTTCACAGCACTCGGGGACCCAGAAAGGAGCTAATACTGAAGATGCTGTCGAAGTCCAGTGTGGATTTCATGTTGCTTCTAGGCTGTGATCCTGGGAGGCTCGCAGACGACGATTGTAGCTGCACTTCAGCACTTCTCTCTCAATTGAAAGCGGATGTTGTCAACATACTTGTTGCATGCGAGAACGCGGCTGACCAGGTAGAGATGCTGTCCGGAGGAAAAGTTCGCCCCTGGATACAATGTCGAGGGAATTTCCGTTGCATTGCTTTGCGTGGAAACTCCACAGGTCCACAGGAAGGCGAAAGCAGCCTTGGCCATTTCCCTACTCTCCTGGGACATGCTTAAGATGGGACACAGCTGAAGATGAATTCACCGCACCATCACGCTGATTCACACCGCCAGGGTACAATTTTCCGCACCTTTTACATTCCGTGTGTTTGGGTGTTCTGTCTTGCCTTTCACCTGGCCACGTACATATCCTGGTTTCGAGGAAGCTGCCCAGTCCAGTGCAACTCTCGTTGCACGGTGCCGCCCGCCTGGATATCGTTCTGCTGGGCAGCCTTCACTAGACCCAAGCAGGAGCCAATCCCGGAACTTTGCAGCAACAGCTGTGCGAGAATCTTATCTTTGCATTGGACATCCATAGAAAGCGCGCACCTCCGCTATGTTTATCCATGCTTCCACATCATACAGGCCATCGGCGAAGTGACCCAGGAGAGTGACCATCTTGGTGCTTGTGTGTCGCTCGCCCTTGCTCTCTTCTGGATCCTGTTGTGCCAAGCTTTCAATGTGGTGCTGCCCGTTTTGGAGCAGTGGCGTGGAAGCTCGTCTGAGGACGACGTGCAGAGGTGTTCCGCGGTGTGGAGGGGGCTGTTCTGTGCATCGTTATGCAACTCGATCTACTCCTTCCGGCTTCTTCTGGGCGGCTCGGACGTGGACTTCAGAATGGTGGAAGTTCAGTTTCATCTCATCATGTTTTTCTTCGCGCTTGGAGTGGTCTTCACCTTTGTCCATCACTGCGACTTCGAAAAGATCCTGCAGTCGCCGACCATATGCCTGTGGCAGTTCATGCTCTTACTGACGATCGTGTGGATCATCTGCCACGGTGCCGTGAAGGATGGGATGGCGACAGCCAAGACAGCTTTCAACTTTGGCCTCCTCCTCGAGCATGTCTTGCTGATGCTGTCATCAGCTCTTGTGATGATCGTTGTTCACCGCCAGGGAACAGACCGCAAGGCCGCAGGGCTAGTCTGACACTGCTGCCCGAGGATGCCTCTCCAGCAGCTATGTAATCACAGATGGCAGGCAAAACAGGCCATTCAGAGCACCGGGGCGAAGAATAACGGTTCAGGGCTGTGTACGCAGGCATGAAGCTGTCATTACACACGTGGTCCAGTTCTACATCAATGGCCCAATGTTGCGTGGAATCTCCGCCTGCACGCACCCTCACCCTATCGGTCTTAATTTCAGGTTCCTTATTCCAGTCCCATAATCAAGGTCCTTCATAGTAGTCCTCATACCCCAATCCCTCAGTCCCTACGAAGAACCAGTGAGTCATTGTTTTTTAGTTTCAGCTTCACCGTGAGGGTGAAAGCAGAGCTTGGAATAAGTTGTCGCTACTGTCGGAAGGTGGAAGACAGGCTTCCTGACCCTGAAACCCAAAAAACCCTGAACCCGACATTATAATCCCTATGATCGCTATAATCCTATACCATCCTGTACAATCCGGATATAACTTATCCCTATAATTCCTTTATAATCCTATAATCCCTATACAACCTCAAAAACAACCCCCACGACTCGTTTTGGCACCCGAGGCCGGGGCCACCCCGTGCTCCACGCCGCAGCGCTTTCCGGTGGCCAGGGAGGCCGGAGATGGCAAACGCGGAGAGCTGAGAGAAGAGTCATGTAGGGGCCTTAACAATTACCTATACTATGTTGGGGGTTCCTTATTATGATTTTAGAATAGAAGATATCGCCCAAAACCCTATTCTAATTGTTACGGCCCCTACATTAGGACTTTGTTCTTTACCTAGAGTAACCAATGTAGCTATAAAGGAGTACCTGCACCCGCAAAAAGTATGGAGAAGAATAGCCTTGAAGTAGGGCTTTGTTCTTTCAGGCTTCTGAAAGGGGTTAGGGTTGAGGGTTTGGCGTTCAGGGTTTTGTTTAAGATGGAAATCTTGAGGATTCACTACCATTATGCTTGAGGGCTCCTTAGTGCAAGTTACACTACAATGAACCCACAACCCGATTCTAAGTCTTAATGCCTCATAAGGGCTTTGCCAGTGGTTGCAGCATTCCTATGGGGGAGCGCAAAAAGTGTCTCATACATTGCAAGTTCTAACAGTTGTCGCAGGGATATATCGGGCTCAAGGTACTATATATTTGCTGGGTCCCTTTCCACGACAAGCTGCCAACCGCAGCCTTTGCGCAGATCCTACATTCGGAACCCGTTATACCTACCGTCACAGCTTACCATACCGTCTGTAGCCCTAAACCCTAAACCCCATAAACACTAAACCCTAAACCCCATAAGCACTAAACCCTAAACCTCACAGCAGATAGCCGGATGCCTCAGTTTTTGTCAGGCGCAGGGTTCCATTCCCTTCGAGTCGTTACCAGCGCAGATCTCCTCACCCTCCACGGAGGCACTGCAGGGGTTCAGGGTTGAGGGTTTGGGGCGGGTTTAGTTTGGTGGAGTTTAGGGGTTTGGTCCATCTGATTTGGGGGTGTCAGGTGTAGATCTTCTTGGTGTCGGTGCAAGGGCCAAGGAAGGCGTTTAATTCTTGGACACAAGCTGACAGAGTTTAGAAAGACTCGGCGGAGCCATAAAGACTTGGGTTGCTCACACCCATAGCAATGATTGCTATTGTTGTTATTATTAATGTTCTTATCTTCTTGTTATTGTTGCTATCATAAAAAATACAAACAGTCACACCCTTGAAGACAAACTGCGGCGCAGGTCGTCTACTCGGAGAGGGTGCCAGCACGACCGTCGTTGCCAGCCACACCCGAGGCATCCGCGTGGCACAGGAAAGCAGATGTAAAGCAGTTCCTAGTTTTGCTGTTTCTGGCAGGGCCCTAAACCCTAAACCCTATAAGCCCTAAACCTAATGGCTTTTTGCCAGAAGACTTCAGGAAGGCTCAGCGTGGTCTTGTGGGATCCGTGCCAGGGCCGAGAGCCCAGCGCCAGTCCTCCTCGCAGCCCTCCAGGCTTGTGGCATTCAGGGACTGTCTAGGGTTTAGGGTTTAAGGCTTAGGGTTTAGGGTTTAGCGTTTCAGGGAGTTTCTAGGTTGAGAGTTTAGGGTTTAGGGTTTCAGGGACTTTCTAGGTTGAGACGTCAGTTCATGATCGGAGTCTCGAGAGTATTCGGCTTGTGATGGTGATGGTGCCTGGTGGCTGCGAAGATCACTATAGTTATAGGTTTATGTATACTTACATGCTCCATCCTTCCACGTGAAGGCTTCAGCGCATCCAAGCGTCCCCAGTTCTGAAATGCTCTCATCGCTGGGTTTGGCCAAGCTCCGTCGACTCTAGCCCAGACCCAGACAGTTCTTCATGTGCGTCTCTGGCAGCATTTGTCAAGTCATAGGGGCCGAATATGCAGCCCAATACAGAAGCCTGAGAAACGGCATGTTATCGTACATTATAGTGCTTTTACCAGGTATGTGATGGTACGTTTTGGTATAGTATAGTATAGTACAGTACAGTATAGTACAGTACAGCATAGTATAGTATAGTATAGTATAGTATATGATAGTTTATTATAGTATGTGATAGTTTGTTATAGTATGTGATCGTTTATTATGGCACACTATAGTATTCCTGAAGGCTCCCTGATATATTATCGGATCAAGACCCCAGAAGCCTTTGTCTTATGGCAGGCAGTGGAGTCCAGACGTCAAGGCCGGACGAGCTTGAGCTTTGTTTCTGGTGGGATGATCTGAGTATTATGTAGTTATTTCTTCTGGAATGCCGGATTCGAAGAGCGCCACGAATTCCGGAGTTCAGTCACAAGTACTCATGAAGTTACCAGGGCGCGGTAGATACAAAGTTGCCATCTGGGACGAGCTAAGAGCACTTCAACATTTTGTTAGTCTGTTCCTTGGGGTTCCTGACTATGTCAAGTCTAGTAATTAGTAAATCCCAGAAGCATCCAGGAAGCCTAGTCTAGCTGTGCAGGCCTCTACATTGGGGCAAGTAATGTAGGGTCTTGAATAATCAGAATAGGGGTCTTCTTGTGGTGTATGACACTACAATAAGGAACCCCCCAACATAATACAGGTACGTATTTAGGCCCCTATTTTTCGCCTTTCGCAGCAACCTGGCGAGGTCGGACCTAGCTGATTCCGCCTGCACGCAAGGCTCGGAAGCACTCGATGTTCCGGGTGTTAGGACACCACTGCAAGCTGACATCTCCTTGTATCAGGTACTTGGACCCCTGGAGTTATTCGTGCTTTTGGGAAGTTCAGCTCCTTGACCAAACCCTCCACCCGGGTCTTTTGCTGGGTTCTTGTTACGGGATTTAATTTCAGTTGCCACAATAAGGAAACCATCTTATTTACTATAGATCCATATTATGGTAAGTTAAATCAATCCTTAACTTTAGGACATTTTCAGGTGGGTAGTTATCGATATAGGAGCCGTATAGAAGGTCTATATAGCTTATAGAAGCCTTATAGAAGCCCTATATACCCTAAACTCCCCACCTGTAGTTTCCTTTAATTCACAAGACCTAAACCCTAAACCCTAAACCCCCTAAACCCTAAACCCTAAACCCCCTAAACCCTAAACCCTAAACCCCCTAAACCCTAAACCGAACCCAGTTTTGAGGCGCCGGAGTCCTGCTGGACTTCCTCACGAGTCTGCTTTACACCATGAAGCGACCCTCGAAGGCCGGGGCGCCACCGCTTTAAGAGTTTATAGGGCTTCTGGTTTTTGTTAGGGCTTCTAGGGTTTTATAGGGCTTATATGGTTTTATAGGGCTTATATGGTTTTATAGGGCTTATAGGGTTTATAGGGCTTCTAGGGTTTATAGTGCTTATAGGGTTTATAGGGCTTCTACGGTTTATGGGGCTTATAGGGTTTTATAGGGCTTTTAGGGTTTATAGGGCTCTAGGGTTTACTGGGGTTTACAGGGCTTATAGGTTTTAGAGGGTTTATGGCGATTAGAGGGTGTAGGGTTTAGAAGTCATGGCGAAGGAAGTCCTTGCGATTCTAGCACCTATAGGCTCCATGGTAGTTCCTTTTGTGGTCTACATGCAATCCCAAAAAGGAACTTCGATGGAGACTACCGGCACGGTCCATCTCTCTCTCTCTCACACTCTCTCACACTCTCTCTCTCTCTCTCACACTAAACCCTAAACCAGCCGACCCTAGACTCGTGCTGCGAAGAAAGGGCCACTGCACATTTAAAAAAAACCCTAAACCCTAAACCCTCGCTCTCTCTCTCTCTCTCTCTCTCTCTCTCTCTCTCTCTGTGCCTGTGTGAGGAAGCAGCTTGGGCCTGGGGGTCTAAGATCCTAGTAGGTCGTCGTAGAGTCCTAGAGTCCTCCGAGGG